ACTCCCAGACCCAGTTGGGCCAGGGCCCAATGCCATGTTCATCTGGCTGCCAGATGGGCACAGCTCAGCGCAGCCACGGCACAGAAGTGGGATTGATCCTTGCCCCCCGCCCCCCAACCTGTGCTTGGGATGAGGTGGCTGCTGCTGCAGGCTGTCTACTGTGCCCCAAGCACAGGTGGCAGGTAGTGGGCCCCTGGGTCCTCTGCTGACCCAAGTCTAGCAGCAGAAGCCCCCCTGCACATGCCTCTGGACGACCAGATCTTCCCAGACCTGTCTGGGCCATGTCTACCCCCACGTGAGTCGCTGCAGCTCCGCTGAGCTACATCTGCTGCCTCTGCCCCTGCAGAGATGGGCCCCCACCCCCACTGTGCCTCTGGAGGAGCCCCCTGGACTCCAATCCTCCCACCACCTGGCCAGGCTGGGGCCCCACTTAGCTTTCCCTGCTCCTGGCTTGACCACACGGTCAATCACTCATGACGGGGGGCCTCAGTCTGGCCCTGCCCCTTCCCTTCCCTCCTCCACAGATTGACCTGCTGGGACCGGGGGGGGGGAGGTGAATGTGCACGCACCCAGCTCTCCCCCAGCCCAGGATCAACCAAAAGAGGCTCCAGGATCTACCTGTCTATCAGAATCGACGTGTTGGTGACCACTGCTTTAAATAGTATTAAGGTTGTGACAACTTACAACTAAAACATTAAAAAATAAATGTACTGTTTTTATATGTCTAAGGACAGCCTGTAAAATCTGCCTCCTGGCTTAAAAAATTCTTTCAGCTATGCTAAAATACAGTAAAATATGATATGTAACATTGCTCTGATGGAAAGGCTTCTGCTATAACTAGTCACTACAAATTGTCTTTGAATTGTTTTGCTTTTTCCAGTTTTGTTTTCCCTTGGTGAGCCTAAGCTCACGCTTAAAAGCAAACAAACAAACAAAAAAAGCTTCATAATCATGTGTGATCATTTTCTTAGTATGTCCATTTTATTTAATCAGAGTCTAACACTTATATTGGTTTAATATGAATCTGGAGACTTTTCAAATGCATAATTTTAACAAATATGAAATAATTCCTTTTAAAATAGCCTTTCCCAAATACACGTGCTATTTATCTGTTTTAAGGAATTTTAATCAAAACTTCTTAAAGATTAGATTGTGAAATAGAACCTGAAATTAATCTTTTTCAGCTGGTTAAACTAAATCTTGTCTCTTTCCTATCCCAGCATACTCTCTTCCCCTATTTCCCTCCCTCCCTTTACATAGCAGAACTTTCTATTTCTGTACTTTGACCAGGTTTTTCCAAATGTACAAACCTGGAAGTAGGAATCTAGTGGAAAAACTGGAATAACTTAGGCCCAAGGTAACAAGGCTCAGGTAAATGGTAACGCAGCACTAGAGCTGAGCCTGAACATAACTCATTACTCCCTGTATTTCTGTGCTTATTAGGTTTGTTGCACGGCCAGTGTAATGCACTGTTGCACTTTTTCAGTTCAGGGGAGTGACCCAATGTGGATCTAGATGGTGGCTAACAAAAACAGGTTTTGCTGTGTTTCAAGAACTGGATTATTGACTGACCTATTAGAGTTATTTCAGGAACTTATGTTAGAAACCAGCACAGTATGGTGCCAAGGGAAAAATGGAAAGAGGTAGGAATAATTTAATTTAAAAGAGGAGGCATATTTTGTCCAAAGAGGTGAGCCATGGTTCCCTAGTTGATCATTCTGACTCGGGAGTCTTTTGATTCTGGGAGTGCAGTTATCTGTTGTTGTAGTTCTTTATATTGGTTTGCAAAGTGCTGTGCATATCTACATGAACATAACTTAACAGATAAGTACAAAGTCTAATAACTGCTAAAGCACTTGGTTTTAATAATAGAAGCCAAGTTCAAGAGAGGGGGATATTAAACAAAGCAATTAAAATCATAATCATTTTGTTTTTCAGGGGAAGATTTTGCTGTTGTGCAGCAGGAAATCATTATGATGAAAGACTGTAAACATCCAAACATTGTTGCTTATTTTGGCAGCTATCTCAGGTATATCTTTATTTTCTTTTCCTCATTTCAAAATGCCTAAGATGGTACCTCACTAAAAAGTAGATTCATAGCAGTACATGAGCAAAACGGAATTTATCAGATTTCTATTACGTTCTCATATTCTTTCTGTATTTACTCTAACATCAGCCTCTGTTTACTGAGGTATTTCTCTGTAAATAGTCTGTAAATAGCCTGACTGGCTCCTTCAGGGATGTCACAGTTGTCATATCCTTGAAAGCAAATAGTGATTTCATGAACTCTGGATTATTATAGTGCTGAATTGGCTAGGGGGAACAGCATGCTACTTGTAAAGAAGTGGGTGTGTGCACAGGTATTTTTACTGATGTTTTGCCAAAGTAACATTTAAAATTCTCTTGGTATTCTACCAGTATTTGAAAAGATATCTATATTATAATCTTCACTAAAGCTATATAGACTTACTGTAACTATATAGATAATATATAGCTAAAAATAATAGTTACATAGAGTTTAGTAGATTTAACATGAAAAAGTCTTGGCCAGCTTTGTAGCAGGAAAGTCAGAGGCAGAGAAGTGAATTTCTCGCATAATGAGGAGTAGAGCCAAGATTACATGTTAAGCAAGGAAGCTGGGAGGAGGAGAGCTGGACAGAGACCAGATGGTGGAAGGAGGTATCTGTGTGCTGCAGCTACTGTCCCAAATTGAGTGTCTGTGCAGGAAGCCCAGCTCCCCATGGTTCCTAGCTAGAGCAATCTGATTTCCAGCTGACACAAACATGGGGGGAGCCCCAGAGCTGCTCCTGACTTGCTAATGCCTTGGACTGCAAGGAACGTTATGGCAGTGCGCAGATTCTTTTTTCCAGCTTGTTTCCGGCTAGTGGAGTGGCGGGGGGGGGGGGCAGGCAGGGGGGAGACCCTGGAAGG